CATGTTGACAGCTTGGTTTCTGATGCAGCAATGTTCAGGGGTGGTGCCTAGGGGGTGACTGCATCCTGAATGAAGACTCTGATCTCTTTTCTCCATATGATGGCATTATTGGGAGGTGGGGCACACCCTAGAAAGACACATCTTGTTCCTGGTCCTTCCTGTGATTGCTTCCTGGCTGCCATGAGGTGAGAAGATCTTTCCTCCGCCACACCCTTCTGCCATGATGCTCTGCCTGATTACAGCCACCCTCCTGCCATCCTGCTCTACCTCAGGCCACCCTCCTGGCATCCTGCTCTACCTCAGGCCACCCTCCTGCCATCCTGCTCTACCTCAGGCCACCCTTCCTCTTTCTCTGCCTCACTACAGCCACCTTGGCCCTGACTGGAATGTCTGAAACCATGAATCAAAACACCTTACACTTGTAGCTGTCCATTGTATCACAGGAGCCGACTAACAAGGCTGCAGAGGCTTTTCCAGGGCCTACAGATGAATATGGGCATGGACACTTGCTTTATAAACATTGGCAGCATGGTCTACACAGGCAGATTCTAAGCTGAGGGTAGAAACTCAACTCTTCTGCACAGGGCCAAACTCCAGCAAGTTCTCAGAGCAGGTGAGCATGCCCAGGGGTGCCCTAACTCTGAGTGAAGTGAGATGACACTGGAGAATAATCAGAGGGAAGCAGCTAGAGGTGATGTCCCAGTGAGGGCAGAAGGCTGAATGGCAGCAGCTCATTCCCAAAGCACTAAGACTGAAGCCCGGGCCCCCACAGGAGCACTTTAGATCATATGCCACACCCAAAAGGAGATAGAGCCCAGGTCTTGAGACAAGTCCCAGGTCAAACCAGCCTGCCAGAAAACTAGAGTAAGCTGGCAATGACATTGGGCGCTGAGTCCTGCAATACCCCACACTCAACCAGAGCTAGTCTCTTGGGCAACCCAAGTGTACAGCCACAGCAGCCATGGGCTGGGCTTGGGTGAGGAATAGGAAACTGTATGGTTGGTGTTTGCTGGAAGGAGAACAGTGCGGGCTACACTGAGAATTGGGGAGTCTACCCCTACTGTTTCCCTGCCGTGTGAACTTCACACACACACACACACACACACACACACACACACACACAACACACACCTACACTACACACATGCACCACAGAAATGCGCACACACACACAGACACAAACTTGCACACATGCACACACACTTGTCAGGGACAGTGAAAAAGCTCCTGTGTGGGGAGATGCTTGTGAGCCTCAGGTGCCTACAACCTACAGTGCTCCACGAGTCAACAACGCTGGCGTTTGTTGTCATCTTACAGGAAACCAGACTCAGAGGTCCCCCCAAGGCCCAAGCGTTCTAATCCCTCATTCCCAGATTTCACGGGCATAGTGTCCAGCTGGGAACACAGGAAGTCCTCCCCAGGCACACAAGCACCCAGCCATGGTGGGAGCACCCGTGGGCTTATTCTTCAGCAGATACCAGTTAGTTCCAGGCTCCCGGAAACTGCCCTGGTTCCTCAACAGATACACATGAATGTGGCCATTGCCTGGACACCCCAATTCCACCACAGACCTGTGAAATGAGGTACTTACTGCCTGTGCTCAATAGGACTTCCATTTTCAAACTAAATGGATTTTTAGCCATGGAAATATAGGCTCATTTTAGAAAACTCCAAGAAGCAACAAACCACTGACTATCTCAGTCTTCACCGGTTCTTTATATATATTATTTAATGTATATAATTTATTTTTTATTTCTTATGCACTCATGTTTTGTGTGCATGTGTGTTTGTGTAAAGGTGTTGAATCCCCTGAAACTGGAGTTACAGGCAGTTGTGAGCTGCTGTGTAGGTGCTGGGAATTGAACCCAGCTCCTCTGGAAGAGCAGCCGGTTCTCTTAACCACTGATCCATCTCTCCAGCCCACCTATTCTTACTTCTAGCATGTACTTCCATCATGTCTCCCTGGTTCAAAGGACCTCCCCCTGACCCTCTCTCCTCAAACTCAACTGCCAAGAGGCAGGCCCCACCTTAACTCTGCATTCAGCGCTGAGGTGGTCACCAAGAGTTGACAAGATGCAGAACAGTGTGGGCAGTCAGCACTTGGAAGACTACAAACAAGAAGACGCCTTCCAGAATGTTGCAGTACAATTATACAGACTTAAATCAGTGAACCGCACATACAGATGAGAGCCACTGTCAGCAGGAATCCCCTAAGAAGACAAGCTGGCGCTTTCGGAAGCAGAGCCAGCCAAGAGTACAGGCCAAGGCGTGATTGAAATGGAAGACTCGATGGAGCAATCTGAATGCTAACCTCGTAGGAAACATTGCACGTGTGCACACATGCACGAGCTGATGATCTGGTACCCAGAAAGGGGAGGCTGGAGCACAGCCTTGCTCCAGCGCTGTCTGTGGCACTGTGTGGTGAGCAGCAGGCTCGGGCAGCATTTACCAGGTTATAGACCATGGAGTAATGTAGGCAAAGGGGCATGAGGGTGGACTCCTGGGCCAGTGCTCTTGGTTCAGGCCCCAGCCTGACAAATGCATGGTGCCACTGCAGCACTTTCTGAGCTGGACTTATATGTGACATGGGATGTCATGAAGACCACATAAGAAATGGTAAGGCAGCATCGGGCAGTCGGTGAGTGCATTCTTGATGATGTGTTTCACAGCAATCTTTGGGGAGGCTGTCCCACCAAGTAAACCCCAGAAACTGGCATGCGAATCAAGTGGAGTTTCTGGACTTGCCATGCTGAGCCTTGACGTGGGGCCTTAGTGATCAAGTAAACCCAAGGCCCCATGGGGTAGCAGCCTCCCCCACTACCCAGCCTGTAGTTGCAGCTCTCTTACACAGCATTGGTGAACTATAGCAAGGGCCTAACTCTGTGAAATCAATGTTATTTATGGGGTGATACAATTTTTATTTCATAGAAACCTGAGGGAGTCAACACAAACTTTTTTACAAGGATTTCTGGGAATTAACACCAGTGGCAAGCATCGACATGGGATCAATACTTACCCTGCATTTCATCAAGTTTCCGAAAGTTTAAATGGGTAAGGGGTATGGATGGCTTATTGCCTAGCACATTGTAAACACCCGATACAAAAACTCCAGCCGTAGTTTGGTTCTAGTACAAAAGAAAACCACATTTATTGTATAGCAGTATTTTCCTAAAGTTGAGCAGTCTTAGGAAAACAGAATCTAATTTTAGGAAATTACAGAAGGGTCAACATTGTGCTTAAACTTTAAAACAGGTTCAAAAGAACCCAGCACAGCACGTGACTACTGCAAGGTATGGACAGCTTCAACACATGTGCAAACACAGTGACCTGGAAGTGCCATTCAAACCCCAAACAGGTCTCCCGCTGCTTCACCCGGGGCACCCATGCACACCCGTGCATACCCATGCTTAGCCACCATAGTCACGACAAGGTCAGATTTGGAAACGAATTCATTTTGGAAATACCCTTGTGTTTATACTGAGGTTTAAGATGGCATTCAGGGCTGTGTGGTACAGAAAAGGTGAGTGGCGCTCCCCTCACCTCCCACCCGCCCCTCCATGGGGAGTGCAGTGACATATTCCCCACGAAGCCCCACAGTCCACTGTTCGGGTTGGCAGCACCGCTAGACAAAGGGGAAGGAAAGAGAAAAGTTTTCCTTAAGTAAAAAGCAAAAACATGACAATAAAATTGTGCAAATTGGGTTCAGGGACAATCAGGAGCAGATGCCATGAGCAGTATTTTACTTAGATGTGTGCTTTTTTTCTCATGAGGCAGTATCCACACTGCCATGCTCGTATGAGTATTCTGACTTTCTAAAGTGTCTGGTTGCAACCAAATTTGCATAAGAAGAATTTGTTCTGATCTACCCCAGAAGAACATATTTCAAATAGACAAGCCAGGAGTTAAGAAGTAAAAGTATTCCCAAGAGACGACAAGATCCCAAGGATTTGTCATAAAACAACCATGGCTCAGGTTTTACATTGTGTTGTGTTTTGTTTTATTTTGTTACATTGTGTTGTGTAGCACTGCATTGTATTATATTGTCTTGTTGTGTCATATTATATCGTATTGTGGCTTGTTGAGACACTGGCTCTGTATGTACTTATTACATTGTGTTGTGCTATGTTGGGTTTGGACACTGTGGCTCCAGTTTTAGCCTATTCCATGTAGTATTATGCTATGTTGTGTTGTGTGTGTGGTGTTGTGAACGGTGGCTCCAGTTTTAGTCTGTTCTGTATTGTATTTCATTGTTTTGTGCTGAGACACAGACTTGGCTTTACTCTGTTCCGTACTGTGTCGCCTTGAGGTATGTCTCCCAGGAAAGCAACTTCTTCTCTTCAGGGTTGCCCTCAAATTCTCATTGTATACCTTAAATGTTACAAGGCAAAAAAAAAAAAAAAAAAAAAAAAAAAAAAAAATAAAAAAAAAAGCCTTATTTTTTCTAAAGATATCAAATAGTTATCCCCAAAAGAACTTTAATTGCTTTGTTGTTTCTCAGAAAAATTTATGGACACACTTGAAACTTAAAATCTTGGTTAGGTAAGAAAACCATATTCCACATTTAGTGGGAGTATGCTGGTACCTAACAACCTTTCAAAAAAGTGGCGACAGTGCCACTTTCCCACAGAAGCCTATCCACATGGTCCAAGCCTTGCTCCCTGCAAAGTCCAGACTGCAAGCTTTTGTCTCTCTCTGTACAAGTGTTAGTCAAAAAGCTATTTGACGTGACTGTGCTTACCGTCTATAGTGCATGTTGCATCTAAGTATTTCTAAAGTGCCTATGAATACAAGTATACAAATCAGCACTATAATACCAGGATTATAGAGGAATCCTTTCATAGAACATAGAACAGAGTAGGCCTAGAACTGGTTAAGCTATACATCTTTAATACTCTTTTTGCTGATTTCAGAGTGCAAGCATAGAGAAGTAATTCTGGGTTAGTCGTATTTTAGACAGTTACTGGTATGAACAGTGTCAGGAAAACAAAACCAAAAATCTCTCTTGGTTGTGCTCATTTTAAAAAGGCTGTTTTGAGATGCAAGAATGCAGGGGAATGTGTCCAATCTTATAAAACAGCAAGTGCAGCTTAGTGAGTTTAATTATAAAGAGACTGTGAAAATATTTAATGTGATCATCAATTGTTATTAAATCCAAAAGTTCCATCACAATTGTGGCATATCTGAGTGGCAGTTTGGGGTTTTAGAAAAAAGGACCCTGAGCTGGGCAGTGGTGGCGCACGCCTTTAATCCCAGCACTCGGGAGGCAGAGGCAGGTAGGCAGATCTCTGTGAGTTCGAGACCAGCCTGGTCTACAAGAGCTAGTTCCAGGACAGGCTCCAAAGCTACACAGGGAAACCCTGTCTTGAAAAAAACAAAAAAAAAAAAAAAAAGGAAAAGGACACAGATGTTACTGATAAAGGGCCCAAGCCAAGCTCCTGGCCAAGCTCTAGAACTGGGGCTCAGAACACATGTTTTCATGGCCTTGGAGCCTGGGTTATAACTCCAGTTAGTTTAGTACTCGTGGTGGTGAGCCCATCAGAAGTTTCAGAAAGGTGTGGGGATGGAGCGCTGGCTGCTGTGTGCCTGCCTCTTCTGGGGCTCTGACGAGATCGCCCGCCACACATTTGAAGATGGCCCCGGTGCCGCCTTCACAGCCCTGAGTGCAGGATGAGGGATACGTGGCTCATGGTATTTGGTTTCCATGCCAGTGAGGCATCAGAAACCTCAGGCCGGGCTCACCAGATGTCCCCAGGCCATCTCAGGCCAGCAGCATGACCCTCACCAAGTTGTGGCTGCTCCCACATGCCCTCCCCTGTGCCTGCTGGTCCTTCTTGGTTTGTCTTCACATTTCACTAAGTGGGGGTTTTCTGCTACCTTCTCCTCTAGCACAGGAAGTTTTAACTAATGCTTTTCAAAGGAAGCCACATTTCCTGCCTTCTGAACACTGTGGACGTTTTGAGCTTGTCAGCCTGAAGAAGGTTCTAGTGGTAAATCACTGGAATTCCATAACCAATTGGGAAAGCAGGTTCTTCCTCGAGTACACAGTGAAGAACCCCAAATTCAGGAGGTCCCAAGAGTATTGCGAGCCTCCCCTTCCCTTGAGTTCACACTAATGGGAGAGAGAGGGGTGGGGGATTGCGAGATGCTGACAGCATGAGGCCTTGAGGCCATGGCATCTGCCTAGACTGCCAGGATCTGAGATGCCACCTCCCTGCAGTTCTGTGACTCTCCCCACATACGTTAAAGCTCCCAGATTTGTGCTATGCTTCACAGATAGAGTTAGGAAAACGGCAAGTAGTAAGATTACATGAGAACACCCAGTATATAGCAAATTAGGAACAGATTTTTGAAGAAATCTACGTAAGAAAGAATTACTCACTATTTTGTGTGTGTGAAAGAATACACACAATGTGTGTGGATTCCAGTGTAGTAAAGTGAAGAAGTGTTACATAAAACATCTTCCTGACTCAGCAATGAGCTGTGTGAAAGAACACACACAATGTGTGTGGACTTCAGCGTAGTAAAGTGAAGAAGCGTTACATAAAACATCTTCCTGACTCAGCAGTGAGCTACTTCAACTGTTTTTGCATTTGCATAAAATCCATGCATCGTACAAAATTCTAGTCCATTTCTCATCTAAGCCATTCTAATGCTTCATACAACCAAACGAAGCAGAATTAATCAAACCTATTAGATTCATTCCTAATCCCTAAAGGACTTGTCTTTTAGCATTTCCATGCTAACTAAAACTATTGTGTTTTTTTTTTCTTAAGATGTCAGATGTGCTGCCTCCTAAATATAATTCCTACAAAACACAAATGCTTCTCCCTGATCTGAAAAACAACCAAGAAGGGCAGTGGATGCTGTGGAACCCGCCCAAGGCCAGCTCAGACACTGTAGCAACTTTCTCAACTAGCCTAGGCCAAGTCCACCTCTCCTTTCCCTGGGTCCAGGAGCCTCCTGGGTGCCATGAAGCACATGACCTGTAATTCAATGTGTCTCCTTCTAGGTGAGAACCAGGTCTGAGCCCTCCTGAATCCCACCACCCCGCTGCCCAAAATTGGAGAGGCCCGTCTCTCCTCTCAGTCACGGAAGCTGTGACATGGCCATCACCAGGGGTCCAGGGAACCTCCAAGGGCCTCCTGGAAGTAGCTCTCAAGGCTACCCTTGTCCTGAGCCAGTACGGGTGGCAGGCAGGAGGAGGAAGGGAAGGAAGATTGCCAGCAACACTGTTGGCTGAAGTGAGCTGCTCCCCCACCCCGAGACCAGCAGAACAGAGGTGTCACATGACATGCCAAAGGGAAGAGCCTTTGCCACAAAGGATGAGCTATGGGTAAAATATGGTCACCTCCACTCTGGGGAGCTCCTCCATGTGACCCATGATATTCTGTGGTCACCACCACTCTCAAAGTTCTCAGTGAAATTAAGGCTGGGTCACAGCTATGACACCAGATGCTACATAGAAAGCAAGATACAAAAGAAAAACAATGTCCTGGTTACAAGATAATTTTAACACTAATTAGCAGCCTCCTGGACTGCTGTGGTTGGTAATAGAGCTTGGAAAATGCCAAGAGTATTGGAAAAGAATGCATCAAATCAAAGTCCAGAAGCTCAGGGTGGATCCCGGCCGGCCGCAGTTCCCAGCTGACTACACAGTGGTTTCCATGGTTTCGATCACTTCCAGATCAGACTGTGATGGGGAGAGAAGGGTGCACTCATCGGGTTCCCAGCTGCTCTCGGGGCTGTAATCCTCCTCGGAACTCAGTTCCGCCCCTTCCTCTGTGTCCTCGTCACAGGATTCCACATAGTGAGCCCCAATTGCATTGATCCCCGAGTCCTCGGAACTGGAAGGGGAGGAGCAGTGATCCAGTTTCGGAGTGTCACTCTCTTTGGAAATTAAGGCATCATGTGCAGAGACCTCCTCAGGGCTCGTCTTCTGGGAATGGGGCACCGGCTGCTTCTGCACATAGCACATCTTCCCATTGATACATTTGACCTGATAGTTGTCAATGAAGAGATCGGAAATCATACAGTACCTTGGCGAGTCAGGGGGAAGCGGAGGCTGGAAGACAGATGCAAATTTCAAAAAGTGTTCAGTGAGTGAGACCGAGATCTGAATGGTGTTGGTGGGCTCTCGTGGCCTTGCGGGGATCTCCGTGCTGGGGAGCTGCTCCACGGGGGTCATAGGCTGATATACATATTTGCCTGTGGAACACACAAGACACAGCTGAAATCTAAGACCACTGCACAAACTGTATTAGCCTCGCTGCAGCATCTAGATCAAAATGGTTAACGACATCATCACTTGGCACTGTCACATCAACTTCGGATCCAGTGTGTCACAGTAATTCCCATGCAAGAAACCAAAAATACTTTCTGAAATTTAACTTAGGAGATACTCCCATAGAATGCCTACCCAGCATGTGTAGAGCCTTGGGTTCAACCACTAATACTGAGAAAAAAAAAACAAAAAACAAACAAACAAAAATAAAAAACAAAAACACTGAGCTGCTCCCATGGGTCTGGAGTGGGCATACAATCCTGCAGCCCTCTATCTTAAACGATTCACCCATCACACTGGACACAGTGCCCAGAAATAGCATGGTAAACACAAGCTGAAAAGAAAACCATACACTACAGAACTGCAACTTCATTTTTATCCCTAACAATAGATTAATACATGTTGATATGTTTAAAAAATCTAGAGGTACTTCAGTGTACCATCAAAGCTATGGGGGGCCTTCCTTGACTCTGTTACTAGTGATGGAACCCTGAGGTGAGCATGTGTGCTACCATGAGCTAGACCTGAGGCCCTAGATGATACGTTTTAGTCAATATTCACACACTGAGTAGATGATAGCCTAGTGGGCTGTGCTGGCCATCCAGCACTATGGTTGACTCTAAAGACTCAAAGTGAATCGAGTAGCATAAGGAGGAGGCCTCTCCCAGACACCAGTGCCACAGCCACTTCATAACCCAAACCAGACAGATACCCACTCAGGGAAGCCAAACGGCTCTCATTAACTCTTCCCTTCAGCCCTCGGCTGCTCCTCAGAGTGAAGCCTCACATGGAGGAGTCTTCATGTGTCCCTTCCACATTCTCTCTACTCATTTCATGCATTTAGGAAGAGTCTTTCAAGAGCCAAATGCTAATAGATTAAAACAATGCACTTTGCAAGTCTCCAATAATGATAATGATTACATTATTATTATTATTATTATTATTATTATTATTATTATTAGAGATGGGATTTCACTATGTAGCCCTGACTGGCCTAGAACTCACTCTGTAGACCAGGCTGGCCTCAAACTCACAGTCACCCACCTCTACATCCCCATGCTGGGAATTAAAGGTAATTGCCATCACATCCAGCTTGTAAGTCTAACATTATTTCAAAATACAAAGCTAAACGGGGTCCAAGAAGACATCTTATAATAAAAGCACTTGCAATGCTGTTCGGAAAGCTCTGATTACAGCCCCAAAGACACTAGTCCAGAACAGATGGCCTCTGTAGCGTGGGACTGATACCAGCCGGGCCCCAGCAGGGAAAAGCCACTCATGTTTTATTTCTTGGTCAGACTGGAAACCTCTGAGTGGAATTGCCTTCCCAAGGAAGACTGTCACAGGTTTCATAATGTTAACACATGGAAGAACAGCAACCGTGTGCGGGACTATGTCCCACTCGGGCCTCTTTCCCTCCTTTGTGATCTATAGTATTGTTTTGTTTCCCTCCTCTTGGTGGTTGTACCTTTCTTACTCTGGCTCCTCTCCTCCAAAGCTCTGTTTTCCCTTCTTGAAGTATGGTATTTATGTATTAAAGTTCTAATTACCAATGTGACTTCATGAGAAATAAATAGATCCACATGGGATGGTAAGAATGGACACCCCCGTCCCAAGTGGGCTTCATGCCCTCAAAGAAGAAGATGAGCCCAGAGCCTGTTCTCTTCAGCTTCTGTAACCAGGATAAGTGTCCTCAACTGACACTACATCTATTAAACCTTCATCAGACTTCCCAGCCAGGCTGAAGAAATAGATGTTGGTTAAACCATCAAGTGTGTGTGTGTGTGTGTGTGTGTGTGTGTGTGTGTGTGTGACAGAGAGAGAGAGAGAGAGAGAGAGAGAGAGAGAGAGAGAGAGAGAGAGATGTGAGGTGTGGAGTGTGTTGTGTGATGTGTGTGTGAGATGTGGTGTGTGTGTGTGTGTGTGTGTGTGTGTGTGTGTGTGTGTGTGTGTGTGTGTGTGTGCACAATGTATGTGTGGTGTGCGGTACGTGGTGGGGTGTACATGCACATGAGTGGGCGGGTATATGCATGCCGAGGCAGAGAAGTCCTTTGAGTGTCTTGCTCTATCACTCTGCCTCACTGCTTTGAGACAGAGGCTCAGTGTTTCAGTTAGGCGGGCTGGCCAATGAGCTTTCAGGATCTGCCTATCTTCACCCCTCCCCCTCCCCAATGCTGGAATTCCAGGTACATCCCGCCATGCCCAGATTTTCCCCATGGGTCCTGGAGGCTCAAACTCGGGTGCTCATCTTGCATAGCAAGTGCTCAGTCTGTGGCATTGAACTCCAGCAGTCGAACTGACCCAACTGTACTGCACAGGAAAAGGGACCAGCTGGGAGATGCGTCCCTTCAGGACACAGCCCTGCCTCACTCTGAACTAGGCAGAGTCTGTGATCTGGGAACACAGATGGCAAAGACAAAGGATGGTTAAAGAGGCTGCAGCTCCGAGACAAATTACCATATAACACTGCATTGTTCAGTTTCTTTACAGAAGCAGTGAAAGTAGGGGTGGAGGCGTGCACAGTGGTAAATCGCCTGCTGGCAGGCATGGCCCTGGCCTCCATCTCCAGCACCACAGTAAAGGAGAAAATAAAAAAAAAAAAGTTAATAGGAAAGTCCCAACTTAAAGAAGAGTAGAAGGAGAGTCAAGCATCTAGAGATTTCCCTTCTGGATACACACACAGAAGTACTAGAGGCAGTGTCTCACGGAGCAGTGTCTACACACCTCTGCACAGGCAGTGTTATTTGGGCTATTTACAACAGCCTAAAGATAAACGCCAGGGAAGTAAGTGTTCATCAATAGACGGATAAATAGAAGCAGAACTGTAATGGATCATTCAGCTTGCCAAACCAACATGGGTGTCTCTGGAGGACACCGAGCCAAGGGAAATAAGCCAGTCATAAGAAGATGAATAGCAGTAATTCCACACATGTGAGGTGCCTGGAGCAGTGAAATTCATACAGATGGAAAGCAGAACATGTTTCCTGGGGATAGGGCATGAGAAGGAGCTATATAGCAAGTAACTTCAGTTTATGGGATGCAAAATGGTGTGAAGATGGATGGTGGTGGCAGCTGCTCAATATGAATGTCACTCAACATAAAAATGAAAAAGTATCCAATGTCACCCATTACTGGGGACCCACAAATCAATGACAAGAATCAGAATGGCTGCTGCCAAAGGAGAAAAAAACAGCCAACACTGGTGAGGATGTCAAAAAAAGCGGGACTTTCCCACACTCCTAAGAGGAATGGAAATTAAAACAATCATTACGAAGACCACATGAAGGTTACTCAGCTGAAATAAGGGAGGGCTTTTTCCTCTCCAACACGTGTAAAGTGGACATGTCTGTGGGAGAATGCATGCTCAACCTTGGGGGAAGCCTGGGTCCAAACTCCTGCAAGCAACAACAAAATCCAACTAGAAATGAATTTCATTTTGTGTGCTTTTGTTGTTGTTCAGTTTTCAGGTTTTTGAGAAAGGGTCGAACTGTATAGCCCTGTCTGGCCTGGGCTACATAGACAGACTGGCCTCAAACTCACAGAGATGCCTGTGCCTGCCTGTGCCTTCCGAGAGCTGGCATTAAAGGTCTACACCACCATGCCGGGCAGAAATGAACTTCTACACGATCCAGCAATGTCACTGCTGTCTGCACGCATCCAATGGGCTGGAAATGGCTGCACCTACATGTTTACTGCAGCACAGTTCACAACAGCCAAGACATGGAAACTGGCCGTACAACAGTAGGCCAATGAAGGAAGGGTGACATATATTTCCAGACTATTACTAGCGGTAGCAGAAAATTGGAAAGTACGGATGGTAGACAGAGGATCGCTAAGAGCTCTACTGGATAGCAGCATTTCTGATGTTCAAGGTACAATAACTATAATTGACAATAATTGACTACTTCAAAATAGCTAACGGAATTCTCAGACCAAAAAAAAAAAAAAAATGTCAGAAGTGAGGGATACGTCAGTCACTCTAATCTGATTAGCACACTGAAATGTCACACTATAATCCATAAATTTCAAATAGATTTAAAGGCTGACCAGAAAACAAAAGATAATGTTCTTAGTAATTTAAAAACAAAAAAACCAATAACCCTTTAAAATAATGAAGCTAATTAAAACATGGGACACAATTAAATACACACCAAAAAAAAAAAAAAAAGCAACTGGGACCAACAGGTGGAAAATGTATTTCAGACATCTCATTTCTTTGGCAGGAATCTCCTTCAACATTTTCAGCCATTTTTCAAAGGTCAATCAAAACCACGAAACTAACTCACATGAGTCTTTGGAAGTCTCCATTGATAACACTTCTGATTGGGGCCATAACACTGAGGACACTTATCTCACAACACCTCAAGGAGACACTTAGATGTGCACAGAGAGATTTATGTTACCTTGCATAAACAGAAGCAAACTAGCGTCACACTGTCAGGCTCGCTCATATATAAGATAGACAGACAGTCGATGGTCTAGAGCAAGGCGACAACCTCCTTCTTTCTCAGGCCCATCGTGAGCTAGCTCAGGCTGTCAATGGCCTGTCACTTCATCTGACACCCCATGTGCCCCACGGTGTGATGACACAACAGAAACAGTTTTTTGAAGCTGTTTCTTTTCTTTCTTTCTGTCTTTCTTTCTTTCTTTCTTTCTTTCTTTAAACAAGGGGAATAAAAAACACAACCAAACTGAAACAGCAAACCAAATCCAGACGGTAAGCTACTGTGTTTCCATGCCCCATTACTCCACCGTATGCTCCTGGTTACATGTGTTGTGTGTTTGTTTTATAGCCATATATGTGATAACTTAAAAAAAATCCTCTGGGGGGGAAATAAGCATTTTGCTTTTACAGATAACGTTATGTTTGTTAAATGACATGAAACATACTGATATCAGGAATGCAGAGTGGAAGGCAAATCTG